CATCGTTGCTGGTAAGGGAGTCTATTGATATTAACGCGTCACTTCTTGCTCTTGCGCGGGTCATCACGGCTCTCGCTGACCGGTTCCAAGAAGAAAAAGAACGGTGGAAGTCCTGATAGGTCGCATGTCCCATACCGCGAGAGCAAGCTTACCATGCTGCTGAAGCACGCCTTGGGAGGCAACTCTCTCACCACTATGATCGCGTGCATAAGTCCCTCGGACCGGTACGTTGATGAAACTCTGTCGACTCTTCTGTACGCTGGTCGAGCACGCAACATCACGAACATTCCACGCGTGAATGAAGATTCGAAGTCTGCCCTCATCCGTCAACTCCGTGCGGAGGTGGCCAGCATGAAGAAGGAATTAGCGTACTATAGAGGTCTGGCTTCGGAAAGTCTTGTAAAAGCTGACGTTGTGCATTCTTCTGTGTACACTATGCAAGATGGTATTGATGATGGTAGGGTGAATGAATTGGCAGAGAAACTTCTTCAAGCGTGTGAGGCGCTGAAAAATATCATTGCCGTAAATGGCCAGCTGCGAGATGCTTTTGATACAGTAAGAGACGCCAAGATGCAACTTGAGCGGCGTGAAGTAGAACTTAATGCAGAAAATTTGGCATTGCGCGAGCGAATTGAAGTTCTCGAATCTATTGTGCTTAAGGATGATTTTGTAGATCAATCCTCTCGGGATTGCGAGGTTGTGGGGGCTGAAACGATGGAGCACCCATGCCAAGACTTACTGTTTGTGTCGCCTTTGGTTGGCGTGGGCGCTGGTTCACCACGGAAGGAGGTTTTGCCCAGTCGTGCGTCCTCTGCTGAGTGGCCTCTGCAGCCGCGGAGCTCCCGCGGGCGAGGCGAGCAGCGAGCCTCCACACCCAGAGGGAACGGCCATAGAAACGAATTGTCATTAGCTCCTTCGCGTGCACGCACTGTGACACGTTCTCAGTCGAGGGGAACTTCGGCACGTGAAGACAAGGCAAACGCCAACAGCGGGGCGGACTCAGTTTCATGCAAGACAGTACTGAAGGAACGGCAAAGGCAGCGACAGTCCAAACTCAAGAAAAAACTGGAGGAGTACACAAATCGTTATTGTCAGCCAAATCATTATATGAATTACGCAGAGTATTATGGTAAGGCGCGTCAGCAGATCCCTGTCAATCAAGCTGCAGCAGTAGCCATCAAGGAGATGGAGGTGACATTGAAGCAGCTGCCGCGCAGCATCGCGGATACTGTGCCACAGTCTCTGAAACTTGCGTCGGAGTTTGGCACCTTGTCGTTTGGTGGTTCGCGTGAGGAGGTGGCGGAGTTGGAACAGCGGCGTCAGCAACGGGAAGCAAAAAGGAATGCACTTCTTGCTCAGCAACAAGTCCTACGGGACAATGTTACCCGGACATTATTAAATGCAACGGAGCAACTAGAATCGCTGCGGTGCGTGGGGGGCACTACCGTTGCGTTTACTCCCTACTCAGCTGATGTTGCAGAACGCGCGAAAATTTCCCGTATAGGAGGAGCATCTTTTGTGCCGGCAATATCAGCAAGCTGCGGCACAAGTCGGCTACGGGCTTATTTGGACCGTAACTCGGTGAAGACGCCCAATGTGTGATCGCCGCATTGCTGACAATGATGGTGTTTCTTGACGTCCTCTACTACAGTCTGTTCTGGAGTGCTTTGCGCGAGTTTGCAGTCGACTCTCGACGTGGGCGTCACTTTCTTCCCTCTCTTTTGGACGCTGACCTTTCTTTCCCACACCTCCGCTAGTTGAGGACGGGATTCTGCTACGATGGTGTGCCACGGGCCCGCGCGACATCGAAGTAAAGTACGCAAGCACGAGCATTTAACCAAAAAAAATCTAGTTGCCCAATTTTTTTATTTACTTCATGATTGTATTCTTTGCACCTTGGATTCTATTTGTTGTTTTCCGCCCTTATGGTCCTCGGTGGGCGGTGAAAGGAGGTGGTCGAGGGAGAGAAGTTCGAATGAAAAAAAAAAAAAGGGAGCGGGGAGGGAGTGCGGAATAAAAATGAGGATGCTTGACGCCAGTTACGGCGATTGTAGGCCTCCTTGAGGGAGTGCGTGCATGTATGCCAGTGCGTGTGCGTGTGCGTGTGCGTGTGCGAAGAAGTGAGTGGCCGTCTCGACGTGCCTGTTCGCACCACCCGCAGCGGTAGGACCCACCTGCGAGCATCTTTGCGTCGTCTCTGCATTGGAGCGCATCCACGCGGATGTGCACACCTGAACTTGTGTGTGTATTTTGATCTTTTGCTTCTTCAAAAAAAATATGCGTGTATTCCGTTCATTCCTGCGCCGCCTCCAAAGACCAACTGCAACAAGAACAATAAGAACAAGAACAAATCTACTACTTCAAGAATGACCCTGGAAAGTGCCTTTTACGCCTTCGCCTCCTTTGGTGGCGCGCCCTCGAAAGAGATGGACAACGCCCACTTTTCCAAGATGCTGAAGGAGGCGAAAATCATTGGCAAGGTCTTCACCAGCACGGACGCCGATCTACTTTTCAACAAGGTGAAGGCAAAGGGGGCCCGCAAGATCACCTACACGGAGTTCGTCGACAAGGCTATTCCTGAGATCGCGACAAAGTTAAAGAAGTCCGTGGATGAGGTGAGCGGGATTGTCGCGGGCTGCTCTCCGGAGGCACACGCGACGAAGGCCGATGCAGTGAAGTTTCACGATGATAAGAGTACGTACACAGGCGTCTACAAGGCCGGTGGGCCGACCAACGTGGATCGCAACCCTGGCTCACTTGCCGGTGTTGTTGACCGACGCGTGGAGCAGACCGACGTGCGTGGCACGACTTCCACCCAGAAGTAAAGTGGGAAGGAAAAAAAATTTGGGCAATAGAAAAACAAAGGAAATACAAAAAAAAACAAGGAAAAGCGTAGCCTGTCCTACGAATATCTATCTATCTATGTAACACATCTTTTTTTTTAGTTTTGCAGTAAAGCTTTTAGCTGGTGCGCTCTTTTATTTTTGTGCGTGGCCGTCACTTCGCCTTTGCTTTGCAATTGGTCCGGTGCCCGTAGGTTTCTTGCTCTTTGCATTAGAGGGCAGTGCATTTTTATTATGTTTTGATAGGAGCAAAAGAGGCATGGTGCGGCACGGGCTTCAGTGGGAGGCCCGTCTCCTGCTTCTGTCCATTTTTGTCAGTTTTTGATGGTGTTGCCACCTTGTTATTTACTGCCTGCTTTCTTCGTTTCACGCCTTGCCTCCCTCTCCCCTCACTTCTTGTTGTTGTTTTTTGCACGGAAGTGCGCAGACACGCGTGCGAAGTCCGCATACGCCAGCGGGGATGGCCTTGGGTTATCCGCTTTTTTGTCGTTTGTTGTTTCCCTGGGGGCTTTTCTTTCCCACGCTCCTCCTCTCTGTCGTTGTCCGGCCGTGTGTTTATCGCCGCGGTCCCCAACAGCAGGAAGTGAGACGTGCTGCCGCGTGGGCACGTCGGCGGGACGCGGCGAGGGGAGGGGGATGATGGGCGCCGCCGCGGCGGGGAGCGGCCCTGGGGGGCGGTGGCTGTGCGAGTACGTTTATGTAACCACAAATTTGGCACTGCGTGTGTTTGCTCCTTGCGGCCCCCCGCGCGCGCCTCTTCTCTCGCTCACTGCGCTTGCCGGTGCGGTAGCGGGGGAGGTGGCGGGCCGAGGGAAGAACGGTGCGAAACAAGCGACAACTAGTACGAGCTCCAATAATTAACAAAAAAAAAGTGCGTGGGGGACGCAAGGCCGCGATACGGGAGAAGATGAAGGACGCAAAGGAAGAAGGAGTGCTGAGAGTTAAAAAAACAACAACAACGAAAAATGTCGACTGAAAAATGGGAATGGGTAAGGAAGGTGTGAGCCACCAAACGAAAAAAAAAAGAAAAGAAGCAAAACTCTCAAGGAAGAAAAAGGTCCAAACTTGAGCGGGGAGGAGAGGGGGGGGGAACAAATGTGAGAGCGATTGTATTAAGGGGGAGGAGGAGAGAAAAAGAAAGGGCAAACTTGTAAAAGCGCTTTAAAATGTGCAAAAACAAACACGGCTCGGAGTTATGTCCTTTCCCGGGTGAGACGCCCATATATATATATATATATATGTTAAGGCTCATTCTCCTGCGTCTGTATATCTGATTGTGTTTTTGCATATATGTCCTTTGTTGTTGTTGTTTTTTTGCTTCTTCATTTTTACTCGTGTCTTTGTGCATGCGCGTATGCGTGTGGATGCATTGTTTTTCTGCACGATGGAATAGAATATTGCGGCATACCTTTATTTGTGCAAGGGCAAGAAAACAAAGTTGCATACCTCATCGCAACATCGACCGCTATTCTATAGACACATAAGCAACCACCTTATATAGGAGGCCTGTACGTGAGTGTGGACGGCAAAGGCAAAGTAAAATTGCTTCAGAATCATAATAATAAGATACAAGGCGGCGCAGACAAAAGTCATTACAATTTGTTGGTTGTCGCTTCTGAAAAGGCTAAAGGCGGGCTGTCGAACCATTTTTGTACTTGACTGAGCCAGCTGCTAGAAGGCGCTCTAGTTTTTATTTTTGATTGCCGCATTCTGGTATGAGCAGAGAGGCGCCACCGCCGCCTACTATTTGCCGTGCTGCGGAAGATGTATCTCCTGCCGCGGTGGAGGCGGATTCCGCCGCGGCGCTGGATTTGCGGAGGACTAACGGCAGCACACTCCCGTTGAGGACGTCGATGGACGACGCCGACGATACTTGCAGTGCTACGAGCGAAGAGGTGGAGGACGGGCTGCTTGAGACTGAGCAGAGCGTGGCGTCAAGGGAGGCAGTATGGGGAAGCCCTTGCATTCCAAAAAACGAAATGGGCGCTGGTCATAGTGGCTTCCCGCGAGAGGACTCCTCCTCTTGCTCTGTCAACGGGGAGCGGGAGACTATGCAATTAAACAAGCAGAATCTTTCTCGGATGGAGAAGGAGTTGTCCGACGGAAAAGCAGCTCTGCACCCCGAATTGCTTGACGATGATGCATTCGGCGTCAAACGGCCCACCTCCAAGGAGAGGCATGTGAGCGTCGTTTCCGTGGCATCCGAGGAGGAAGAGGGTGCTCGTGGCTCTCTAATCACGTCCGACGTTGAACAGTTCTCTCCGTACATGAAGCCAAACAAATCAAGAAAATCCCTTTTTGACAATTCGGTTTGCAGCATTGAGAGTGTGTGCGGATCAGTGGCTGCGCCAGATATTCTCAGTCGCAAAAACCTTGATCGCTTTGCATCTCAGCTCTCCGCGGGTGTGAGGGAATTGAAACCGGAAATGCTTTTGGGCGACGCATTGCAGGAACTGCAATGGGAACTTGGACACCGCAACCAACGACAGGCGGACAAGTCTTTGTGTCGAGGTGGGAAGCGGGATTAGGGATGAGGCGCGGTCGCAAAGCGACACAACGGGGAGGCTTGATGCGAAGCGAAGACAAAGCCAGTACGCCAGCGTCAGCGAATATTCCAGCCTCCTAACGCCGTTGGATGGCGCCCCGCAATTGGGGAGGGAAAATGATGAAGATCGCATGCGGCGGACCGCATCAGGAGCGCGGCTATCAAACGACGAGGTCTTGGCAGAGTTGAGTTCCACAATGCTCCCTGACCGCAAACCAGCTGCAAAGATTGTGGTTGAGCCCCCCTCTTTATCCTCTCGCGGTGAAGATGATATGCCACGCGGTGGCACCAAGTCTGACGCCTCGCCTAGAGCTGAGATACGCGGTGATGGTGTTCCCAAAGAAAGCGGTGCAACGATGATCCAGGAGTTGCGGCAAAATAAGGCAAAGAACGTAAGAGCTTCCCAAGAACTGAAGTTGGGGCAGGGCAACGTCATAGATGACATGAACGTTCTTCAACGTGGCTTACAATCTCACCTCGTCGGTGCGGCGAAGCAATCAAATCTCTCAGAAGGGCAAACTTGTGGATTACAAGCAATACTGGAGGCAAACCTAGGGGAGCCTGAGCCGCAGCTGTCGACGGCGGAGGCAGGCTGGACTCAGTTTGTTTTCACCGAGCTACGGACAGTCAAGCAAAGGTTGGAAGAGGAAATGCGGGGATTGAAGGCACATCATGAGGCACAAATGGGTGCTCTGCTTGAGAAGGTGAGCGAACAATTTGGACACGTAAATCAACTCATCTCTCAGTTACTTACGGCACTGCATTCGTTGCGGCAGAATGAATCCAAAGCCAATAAGTTGGAGGTCTTTCCCCCTGATGATTCGCTTCCTGGAGGGGAGGAAAAGGTCCAGCTGGTGGTGAGTATACCGTCTTCTACCGAGAGCCCCGAAGTCCTGCTTCCTATAAGCGTCAACGCCACGGTAGGCATGTGCAAGCGTGAGCTCTTGCGACGAATTCACCAGCAATGTTTGGTTAGTAGTGACGTTTCCTACTCCAATGTTGTGCTTCTTCAGGACACCCGAACCCTGTATGAAGAAGACGTCCTTCGGGATGTTCTCGTCCCTGGCCCCCCAAACGCAAGCTCTTCAGGGGAGTTGGTGAAATTGACGCTGCGCACAGTGCTGCCCAAACCGATCCACGGCGCACCTTCAACAGAAGAGGAGGTCTGTGCACCCACGGCGAGTTCAACGGTTCCGCAGAATGCCGCTTCCTCTAATAGTTTTCACTCCGCTGCCGCTGTACCTAAGCACGGCGGTGGCAAACAGACTCCTGTGCAGACGAACGAAGGCACCTCTCAGTCACCTCAACCGAGCAGTTCCAAGCGTCACTTCGTCCCCATAACCTCTACACAAGCCGAGGACTTCGGTATGCTGCGTGTTGAGGATGTGGATGAGATAAGCGGGAACGAAGCCCTGTATCGTCGACTCGTAACCGAATTAGAGCGGTCAGAGAGAGAAGGTCTCGTTAAGGAGGAAAAATTGCATTGCGTTGTAGCTGTCAAAGAAGGTCTAACACGTATTCGTATATATTTGTTGGATCGTGCAGTCTACTCTCCCGTGGAGGTGCATCGTCGCGTGGCCCGTAGCGCTCTTGAAGAGTTGCTCGCCGCCTCGGCACCAGGAGCCACGCTGGAGGAAATGTCCCGGGCAAGCAGCATGGCACAGACGGCGTTGCAAAGTATCAGCTCTACCCATGGAGAGGATAGCCGTGTTGCTGCCGTGCAGGAGGGCATGCGTGCGGCGCAAGATAGGAAGCAACAGACGATTGACGAAATCAAAGAATTATGTGAAAATATGACCTATCGCCTACGCATCCCTTCAAATATGTTGAAGCGTGCGGAGTCTCTAACACAAGACGCACAGAGAGCTCTTATATTGGCACCCAGTATGACGCAAAAAGAGTTGGACGAAATACATGAGTCGTTGGTAGATTTTTCTAGAGCGGCTTCTTCCTGAAATTGTTTAATGTTTAATTATTTTTTTTTGCATCTTTCTGTACGTGTGACCGTGTATATGGTTATTTGGAGCCTTTTATATACGTGTAGGTGCGTATACCTACGCATGTATGCATCTAAGTCACGCAAGGGGAAGGGCAGCCGTGGAAGCAACAGCAGGAAGATGAAAAGAAACGCAGGAGTAAACCCAAAATGGATAGACATATGTGTCTCCTTATATAAACAGCTGTGTTTCGTGATACATACATACCCTGCAGTTACATCGATTTATGCCTAACCTCTTGTTCCAGGATAAAGAAAACAATGATGTTTATATGAAGACGCAACCACACACACACATCCATACGCATGCGCATACACACCGGGTGAACTTTCTTGTTATGGGGGATCGGTGGGATATGTGTGCTACAACTACGCACAGTCAAACCATACGCAAAGCAATCGAGTATAGGAATGGAAGGGAACGAAAAAGGGGACCACGTTTATGTTTCTATTTTTCTTTGCATCTCCTTCTTCACGTGATCAGCTCGGAGTGTTTCTTACCATCTGCTTTGCTTCGTTGATCATTATTCCAGGGGAAGGGGCTAACAACTGCTCCTTATGTATTAAGAGGAGCAATTTGTTCTGTGTTAGTCTGAGCTTTTTTTTTTAGACGCCGCCACCTTGGTAGCCGTCACGATGTTATCTTTTGGACATCAGCAACACTTTGCAGCGACGTTTCATCTTCTCTGCTCCAACTTCTGTGTGCAAACTGTGGGCGTACCGGGGTCTGGTGGTGCACGGGTTAAGCGAGACAAGCAGAAGAATAAATACGAAGTAAAGTCATGTGTTGCTCACTTGCTGCGGAATCACTCAGTTCACGCGGGCAGATTTGTTTTATTTATTTATTTATTTATTTATTTTTCGCTCGATATTTCTATATATGTCTTTTCTTATACCTTCTTTCTGCTGTTCCATGCCTTGTTTCTGATTTTCTATACAGTGATGGCTACGCTGCTTCTTGTTGCATTCAATCTTATACCTGTAAACAACACGCCAACGCACCTGACAGTCACGTGCAGCGAAACGCAACAACTTTGACACGAAGCCCCACGCTGGGATGAAAGTGGACCTGCGATAGCACTACTTCGACGGTAAGTGATGTTGA